CCTTATCTTTTTTTTTTTTTAGCACTTTCTTACTTTTTGTCAAAACAAGATATTTCAGGTTCATCTTGTACACATCCTGCCCTAGCCTTAGAATCAACCATTTCTTTGAGAAGCTTTGGTTTGTTTTGATACACACCTTGTTTTAAGGAATACGCTATGACTGTTAGTCATACAGTATTTAAGTGTTGGAATAATTTGTTTTGGACACCAGCTTGACATTTTTTCTTTTCCTAGTGTGTGAAACAACAAATTGTAATACACACTTTAAAATTTTATATACTTTTCTCTTCAGGAATCAAAATGGCTTTTTCAGCATACTTTGGTTTAGAACATGGCAGAATATCTGTGCCTGAGTAGATTTGACTATTGTATATTTTAGTTTATTTTAGTCAATTAACTGACAAAGTTTTTCCCTCCAAAATGGTGGGTTTATATTTCATTGTTTTTCAGATTTCTAGATGCCTTCTCTCTAACCCTCCAAAATGGAATTATGTTCCATGTAAAACATTTGAGATTAGATAAATGTACTTTATATAAAATATTATAAGTGAGAAAATTCTCACACCAAAAATAAACTCCTACTTTTTCCATAATGTGAATATCCTTTTAGGATATTATCCTTGTGTGTGTGTGTGTGTGTGTATACACTTCCATTTTGCAAAACAAACTCCCTACGCAAGTAAAACACAGTATAATTGTTTCTACAACTCAGTGGGAATTGATTCTTAAAAATCAGTGTGTAAAGTGAAAAATATCAGATTAAAATTATCCTCGAAATTCCTTTAGGAATTTAACATTGTCTCTTATTAACTACAATACAATTGTTTTTTTCTTCTAGTAGAAAGAAATCATTGTTTCTTCAGTTGAGCAACAGGTGAAGTAGTTGGCTTGTATTTAAGTGACCTCTTGTACAAAAAGCATATAATTCTAGAATCACACTCAGCCCAGTGATACATAGAGAGATGCTGTGAAAATGGAGACTACCTGAGGGAAGTCTTCTGTCTCACTTTTTATTTGCTGATACTCACTTACTGGATAGACTGATAGGTAGAATTACCCCTTTTTAGGTGGAAGGAGGTGCTATGGTTGAATTTGCTTAAGTGTATACAATGTGGCTTCTCTGTGCTGTACCTTTAACTATTTTTATCCCACAAAATTTATCATTATGTGCCTTTACATATCAGTAGATTTTTACCATTTAAATGACTATTTCATTGTATGGATTTGTTCTAGTTTCATTAATAATTTTCTGGAACATTTAGGTATATAATTTTTCTGAATTATAAACAACATTGCACTTGTATATGCCTCTTTTTTTTTTTAAATTGAAGTATATTCAGTTACAGTGTGTCAATCTCTGGTGTACAGCATAATGTCCCAGTCTGTATATGCCTCTTTGTTGTTCTACATCTTTTAATATATCCTTTGGGTAAGTTCCTAGAAATGAATTACTTAGTAAAAGGGGATGTGCAATTTAAAAGGCTTTTGATGTAATTTTTAAAATCACCATTAGAATGTTATAGCAATTAATTTTTTAGACATTATGTGCAGGACTGACTAATTCACTATTCCTTAAACACTACAGAGTATTATCTGTCTTTTTAATATTTTATGTTCTGATACATGGATGTACCTTTAGTCATTTTGGTGTTTTATTATGTATTTCTTTGAATAAATAACCACATTATTAACTATATCACAGTTAAGACAAAATACGTTGAGTAAACTCCCATTAGGATGGCTAGTATCAACAAAACAGTAAATAACAGGGGTTAATGAGGATATGGAGAAATTAAACCCTGTGCACTGATGGTAGGAATATAAAATGATGCAGTCACAATGGAAAGCAGTATGATGATTTCTCAAAATATTGAAACTTAAAGTCACCATTTCATCTAGTAATTCCACTTCTGGGTAGTAGCCAAAAGAACTGAAAGTAGGGACTCAAAAGAGGTATTTATATACCCGTGTTCATAGCAGCATTATTCACATCATCCAAAAGGTGAAAACCACCCAAATGTTCATCAATAGATGAATGGTTACTAAACAAAATGTGGTATATGCAAACAATGTAATATTATTCAGCCTTTAAAAGGAAATTCTGGTACATTCTGTAACATGGATGGATAAATCTTGAACATGATGGTAAGTGGAATCAGCCAGACACAAAAGGATAAATATTGTATGATTCCACTTATATGAACCACCTAGAATAGTCAAATTCATAGAGACAGTAAGAAAAGTTGTTACCAGGGACTGGGGTAAGGACAGAATGGGGAGTTATTGTTTAATGGGCACAGAAATTCAGTTTGGGATGATGAAAAAGTTCTGAAGATGGATAGTGGCAATAGTTGGATAACAATGTAAATGTCCTTAATGTCACTGAACTGCACGCTTAAAAATGATAAATTTTATGTTATACATATTGTGCCACAATAAAAAAAATAAGATGAATGAGAGTCTAGGGGAGCTTAAATGAGTAAAGTGCATGGGATATAAAATGTGGATATTTGGTTCTCTAGTCCATAGGAGCTCAGAACAGCAAATTAAGAAGGACTGTTTGATAAATGAATGTAAGACCTAAAATTGAGACATTTTAATTGATAGTAGCAAGTTGCAAGTGAACTTTTGAAAAACTCATGTAGGGAACACTTTATTCTGTGACCATGCTAGATAGTAAAATGTTACTCTGCATTATATTAGTTTAGATCTCTTGTTCTGTACTGTGGCCACTAGCTGCATGTGGCTGTTTAAATTAATTAAACCTAAATAAAATTAGAAATTCAGTTTCTCAGTCACACTAATCACATTTTAAATGCTCAATAGCCATACATAGCTAGTGGCTACATATTGGACAGTACAGCTGTAGAACATTCATCATTACAGATAGTGACTTTTGGACAGCATTGGTCTAGAGTTTTTGTTAAGAGTTGTTATTAAATGGCTATACATCAGTATTTCTGCTAGTCAGTTATGAAATAAAAAGGTCACAGAAATTTAAGGCTTGAAAGTTAACTTACAAAATATGGAAGATACAATAAAAATTTTATGTAGTGATGTGGGCTGTTTATCTTGGGGTTGGTAACCAGCTGCTCAGCACTCATTTAGTACTCTTGGAGGGCATGATACTGTACTAGGAGCTATTTTTTGTGTGTGTTTGTTTTTTTGGTGGGAGGAGGGTAGGAAATCGATCTCTCTGTATATAGACAGGTAGGTAAGTAGATAGGTGTACAAATATTTATCTCCTATGTATATAAAATACATCTCTTATATATAGAAATATTTGTTCTACTACATAAATATATACATACTCTCACACATGTATATATCTTATACTAAAAATTTTTCCCCTAATATATTCTGGAAAATGATCTGTGTTTAAATTTCCCTAATTAATGTCACAGTGTCTTTTATAGTTCACCCCACTTCCCCCAAACACATACACCAGTTAAGGCTCTAATAGTTAGTTGCTATGTCTTTTACTTCCTTTATTCAGAAAAATCCTTACTTTCAAACAATTTATTTTTCCCTTTCATGACATTGACTTTCTAAAGAAACCAGGTCAGTTGTAGAATGTCTCCCTCTGGATCTGTTTTGTTGTTTGCTTTTCAGGTGTCCTTTAACTTACTCCTCTGTCCCCTGTATTTCCTCTGAACTAGAAGTTGGTTCCAAAGACTTGATTTAGGTTTAGGTTAAACAATTTTTGTTTGGTAAAAATGCTTTGTAACTACTACTCTGAATTTTAGTTTCTAATTTTTTGTGATGATTATATGAACAGTTTTAATTAGTGATTTATGGTTTATAAAATGTTTTCACATATTATTTTCTCCAGTAATATTAACATCCTCTGAAGTAGGTTGGTATTATTCTCACTGTCAGACCTTAGTTTTTATTAGCCCTTTGCCTAGAAAGTTGTACAATTCCAATGGTTATCAGTCAGAACTAAAAAGGGAATTACTTTGTCTCTGTAGCATTGTTTTTTAAAGAACATTGTTTTTTAAAGGAGATACTAATCTTTTCATCATTTTCAGAAACAAAGTTATTCTGTATAAATGTTATTTAGTTACTGTTTATGATTCTATACAGGGTAATAACCCACCTTTGCTATTAAATAATAATTTCCCTCCTTTAACAAATTGACTCAAAATTATACCAGGAGGTGAATAAAAAACTAATAGTGATGTACTTAAACATTATATAGACTACCACTCAAAGCTTCTGAGTAGCATGAATAACAAGTGTTAATATGCTAAGTTCATATAATTCCAACTGATAGCAAAGTAACTTGATCTTCCAAATAATCCTTTGCTGCTATAAGTACCTTTATGGTTTCTTTTAGAGTTTTGTCTTACCTTTAACTGATTGTTTCTAAAATAACATTAAATATTTTAACTATTTCTAAATATTTGAACTAGAGGGTATCTAAAAATACTTCCTAGTTCTTTGATTTTATTTAAACGTAATATTCTTTTTTTGTTGTTTTTTGTTTATAAGGGCAGTTAAAACCACTTGAGGGGTTTACATTCCCAGCCTGGATTTTGATGGTACAAATATATAAAATATCAGTAATGACTTACATCTACAGAATTCACAATAATAGTATTAACTACTGTCTGTTACGAGCTGAGTGTATGCTGTTGTGTACTTTGTATGTATTACACTGAATTCTTGTAACAATTCACAATGATAAGAGGCAAGTTATCAGAGGTTAAGTAATTTGCCTGTGTATGTAGCTAATTGATGAAGGAATAGGGAGTTGAACTCAGTACTGACTTTGAAATATAAAAAGCCTATGACTTTTACACTGTGCCCTGAAAGTTCTGAAATGACTGTGGCATAATAAAATGAGAAAATACTCACTGTTTAAGTACATTTTAAGATTGGATTTATTTTACTAAGCTAGAGTAAAAATTTTGCACTTGAGTTATGTTGTTTTAGAAATGTATAGTTTAATTAGAAAATATACTTTTGAATTTTTCTTTTCCTTTTGTTACCTCCAGATATTCAAGAATTTTATGAAGTGACCTTATTGGATAATCCAAAATGTATAGATCGTTCAAAGCAGTCTGAGCCAATACAACCTGTGAATACTTGGGAAATTTCCAGCCTTCCAAGTACTACTGTGACTTCAGAAACACTACCAAGCAGCCTTAGCCCTAGTGTAGAGGTAAGATAAAAAATTTTTTTTCTTAAGCTGCTTTTCAGTGATCAATTAATTGGGGCTACTAATTTTTTTTATTTTATTAAAATGGATATTTTATGGAAATATCTTTTATAATGGAATAAAAAGGGTGAGATTAAAAATATTTTTGAAAGGAAAACCTCAGAATTTCTAGTGTCCTATCTTAAAATGTAAATGGTTTAAGGTCTGATTTAGACTATTAAAAAATACTTTGCATGATAGACCTCAGTGAGGTTCCATCTGTGTGATCATTAGATGGAAACTACTTTGAAAAGATGGTTTTGCTCTGGTGTTTTTTCTCAGAAATACAGCTTTTTGGTCCTGGGCAGTTGCTACATTTATCCCAAGGGTTCTCTGTTTATTGGCTTGTAGGATTGCATTGTTAAATCTCACTAGAGCCTAATCAATAAATCAGATAATAATAAAAGGACAGCATTGGTTCCAGCTTATAGTTAAAGCTGTCTATTTGAGTTTTCATAACTGGTTAGTAATGTTCTTTCTTTTGTTGTGATCTACTTTGCTGGTAGAGTTAGATACGACATAACAGAGATACGAAATGGTTTGTAATGAGGAATCTGTCTGAGGAACATGAGTCATTTGAAGGTGGTTGTCAGACTGAATTTGATTCCAGTGCCTTCCAGTTACTACTGGAGAAGTGCCTGGAAAATTGAATCAGGGAAAAGTAATGGTAGACAGCAACCAGGCAGCCCTTCGGTAATGAAGTAGACAGATTCTTAGTTTTCTCTGGTGTTAAGTAACACAGGACTATGGAATTTTAGAGCAGGAAGAATCAGAGAACATCTGATTCCTTTCCTTCATCCTAAAGATAAGGAAACTGAGATCCAGAAGAAAATTAATGACTTGACCCACTTATTGAGCTAATTTAGGCAAGTCTGTCTTTGGATGTCAGACATCTTAAAACCCACTTCACAGTTCTCTGTTAACCATGGGATGTACTTAAATTTCTCTTTGGTTAGAGATTCTAGTGTTACATTGCCTGTGTAACCCTATTTTTCTGTTTTATTAGTTTTTCATTATTTTCTCTTAGATAATATCAGTTTCCATCCCCTTTTGTCATTCGCACTTACATTAGTCCATTTCAAATAGATTTTTAAAATATTAATCAGTAATACAGTTTCCATTTCACATTTATTGTGGTCCTAGGTTAAAAAATTTGATTATGTAGGAAACATGTTAAATTTTAAGACAATTGGCTTTCTTGTTTAGTAACTTAAATTATATTTTCTATTGTCTGATTTATGATAGTCAACTATGATTATATAGCACAGTGTTCTTGAAGTATATTTGTCTGTTTTTACATGAGATTGTTTAAATAATGGCTGGCTTAATGTAATCAGTAAAAGTAAATATTTATTAAGCTAAATAAGTGAATAGTTGTGCAAGTTGGAAGTTGACTTCCTTATAGATTTCAGTCTGAAAGATCAACAGTGCTTTAAATTCCATTAAGAATTGTAATGGAAATATTTCAACTTTTATAAAATTATGAAGCACTGGTACCTATAATGCTTTTTTGCATTTATAGTTTCTGTATCTCCTGAAAAGTATATTATGGACATGATAAATGTGCTTAAAGTGAATAGTAGTATCAGACCTTTCAGACTGCAAATATCAGATTTTATTAGTTAGAAATATGGAGGAGAAGGGAGTATGATTACAAAATGTTGCATAAGGCTTGGCACATGGAGAATGCTATAGTAATGTTTGAAATCTGTACCCATTCTTAGATGGACTTAGTAAGGGGAATATAGGGATCCCTATGTCTATCAAGTCCTAGATTTTTATAAAGGGGGAAAAATCTGTGAGCTTAGGTCAATTAAAGGGAAGTACTGGTTTTGCAGAGAGGACAGACTGCCCTGAAGATGTTAGTCTGAAAATGTAAATAGTTTTGAAACACACTGGTGGATGACAGTTATAAGACTTAAAAAAAAAAAAGCCAGAAATATTTGAAGGTTTGATTTCTGGTTTTTTTTTGAGAGGAAGAAGGAAAGTATATTCCCCTGTTCAACTCATTCATTTATCCATCATTTGGACAGAAAACTTGTCTGAGTGACCTTAACTTGATCTCTCATTTCAGTTTCTACTTTAGACTTTTAGGGGCCCACGTGTTAACGACTGAAAAGAGAATTGGATCATTTAATTCACCTCATATGTTTTACAGACTGCACCCACCCAAATTAAAACAAATGCAGAAAAGTTTTTACTAAACTATACCTTAAAAGAAGTGAAAATCATAAAAATATTTTGTCTTGTACAAAATTTAGATTATTATCACATTGTGTATTAATTCTTGGATTTAAAAAGTAAGGTAATCTTTTTCTCACAAAATTGCGTGCAGCATGATCTTGTCTCTTTTACTTTTTGTTCATTTTTGCAGGACTATGTTTAAAGAGGGTTATTTTTGCAAAAAGTATTTGAGATTGATCAATTTCTACCAACACTTGGCTCTTTTATTTTCTTAAAGTAAAAATCTTTGTCCTATAAAGCATCTATCCACTTTATTTCTTGTCTTTTTTTTTTTTTTAACAGTTGGTAACTGATATAACTCTTGCCAGATTCTCATTTGTCATTTAATTTGTGGCCTTGTGACTGTATTTCTTCTGTTTCTTCTGATGTAGTAAAATGAAAATTAATACCAATTTATTTTTAAAGTGGAATAATTAGTATTCCATTTTCTTGAAACTTTTTTTGGTTTTGGTACGTCTCTACTTTGGACATATGTCTAGTGAGATGTTTGGAAATGTTTGCTTAATAATGATGACTGTTTTTGGATAATGGAGTTTTTTTGTACTTCTCTGTTACTTTTTAAAAATAATGAGCATGTGTCATTTTTATTAAAAAAATCTATTCTAAAATAAGGGCAATTACTTTTAAAGATTGTAAGGAAGAATATTTGAAAGGAAGCAAAATGCAGGAGTAGGAGAAATTGCCTGTTTTAATGAGAAATTCCAACATCCTGTCTTAGTTCTCTTGGGCTGCTATAACAATACCATAGCCTAGATGGCTTATAAACAAGACAGATTTATTCCTCACAGTTCTGAATGCTCGAAGTCCAAGATCAAATCACTAGTGAGGTCTCACTTCCCAGTTCATAGATTTGTCATTTTCCTCCTGTGTCCTCAACATTGAGGAAGATGTGAGGGAGCTCTCTGGGGTCTCTTTTCTAAGGGCGCTAATCCCATTTATGAAGCTTCTACTCTTATGACCTAATCAATTCCCAGAGGCCCCATTTCCTAATGCCATCACATTGAGGATTAAAATTTCAACCTATGAATTTGGAGGGGGACACAAACATTTAGTCTATGACAATACTATTCCTGATGATACAGTACATTTCAAATAGATCAAAGATTCAAAGGTTAAAAAATAATGAAACCATAAAAATAAGCTTTTAATGGTTTTGTATATGGAAAGCTTTTCTAAACACAGCAACAAAGACGACTGAAAAATTCGAAGAAAAGTTTAAGAATGCTGACTTTGTGACATTCTTTGTGGATTGCATAAAGTTTGAACTTTGATTATAGAATTTCTGTATCTTGAAAGATACTGTGAACAAATAAATGATACACCAGGAAAAAGTTTTGTCACATTTATGGAAAGGAATTAATTTCCAACCCTTTCAACTCAAGAAACCTGCTACAGATCAATAAAAACTAAAAGGCCATTTTCAATAGGAGAATAACCAAAGGACATGAACGAGGAGTTTGGAGAAAAAGAAATACAAATGGGCCAGTAAGTCTATGAGAGATGTTCAGCCTCACTTAAAAAATTCAAATTAGGGGGAGAGGGTATAGTTCAGTGGTAGAATGCATGATTAGCATGCACGAAGTCCTGAGTTCCATCCCCAGTACTGCCACTTAAAAAATAATTAAATAAATAAACCTAATTACCTCCCCCCAACAAAAAAAAATTTTTAATGCAAATTAAATTGACAGTTTTCAACTTACTTGATTGTCAAAAATTAATTAAATATGAGGAAACAAATTCTTGTGCTGTTGTTGGGAGCATACAGTGGTGCAACCGTTTTGAAAGACAGCTTGACATTATATATTCGTCTGTCACAGATGTACTCACACAAATTATTAATACATATTTAAAAATAAGTATGCATGCTGATTGACATATTATTTGTAATGTTAATAAAAAAACAACGGGAAAACAATCTAAATGATTGTTAGTTTCGTACAGCCATACAGCCACTTAATGGAATATAAAATGGCAGACATAAAAATACAGTCTCTATAACTAATGTATGTTATTAAGTGCTTGAAGCAAGTTGCACATCAGGAAGTAGAGTATGACTCTATGAAAAAGAAAAAAAATATGAGTTTAAGTAGGTTAAGAAGAATACACACTTAGTCCACTTTCAGTAATGTGCTCTTGTTTTCAAATGTCCCTGCTATCTCAAGTTCCCTTGTATCAGCCCTTCTGAGTTCATCTTTGTGGAAGGGAAATTATCTGACTCTGGTATAGGGAAGACATCTCTTTTCCTTTTCTTTTTGACTTTGTTGTGATTTAATTTTTTAAAACAATCCATCTGCTTTAATTTAAGTAGAGTTACAAGAGAGTAGAGTTAAAGCATGTATTCAGTCTACCAGGTTTAATCTGAAGTCTTGTCAACACTGACTTTTAAAAATTTATTGCCATACTGTATAATACTCATACATAAAGGTCCACAAATTTTAAATGTATAGCTTGATGAATTACTGCATTGTGAATACATCAGATCAGGGAGAAAAAAATGGAAGGACTGCTAATGGGTTCTGGAATTAGATAGTGATGATGGTTGCACAACTCTGAATATACTGAAAACAACTGAATTGTTGTATACTTTAAAGTTTGGTGAATTTTATGTTATGTCCATTATATCTCAATTAAAACAAAGAAATAAACCAATACCCCCAAAATCTCCCTTGTACCTTTCCTTTTCACTGACTACTCCCTTTTCCTCGAAAGACTATCCTGAT